CGTCGGAGGGGCTGGCCGTGGTGATGCAGCAGCTGATGGAGCAGAGCCCCCTGCCCATGCTGCTCATGAGGACGGTCATCCAGTCGCTGACCATGTACCCGCGCCTGGGCGGCTTTGTCATGAACGTCCTGTCCCGCCTCATCATGAAGCAGGTGGGATCCCGGCCCGGCCTCGCCGCCGAGCCTGGCGCGGGGATGTGCTTCGAAGAAGCAAACGGCATCTTTTTCAGGGGAGACGATAACACGCTGCAGTTACTGAGCGTACATAGACCGATCAAGGCCTTATCGTATGCGTGAGACATTACACTCGTGTACTCACGCGCACACACGCTCCCCCTTGTTACCAATAGCTGCCCCCCCGACTGCACTGGTGTGACGGCGCGTTGGGGTCCCCCGTCTCCTGCACCCCCAAATGGCACGAACAGACTCCCCCAGCCAGTAGAATGGAGGGAGTTTATTGCTTCTCCAGGATATAGCACAGCACAGATGTCATCTGGTTACAGGAACTGGGGCTAAGAGGCCTCAGTGCCCCCCTTGAGATGGGGGAGTCCCAGCCCCCTCCCCAGCTCCTTCTCCCCTGCTTTCCAGACAGGAACTAATTACCTCTCCTCCAGCCCTGCCCCCCAGCCAGGGCAGCATCCACCTTCCTTTGTTTCTCCCCATGGGGGGTGGCTGGTCAGATCAGTTTGGAGCCACCTTTGCATAATGACTCCCCCTTTCTCTGCTGGGTCTTGCTACAGCCTTAGCAAGTTACCCCCACTACGTCACACTACGTCACAACTGGCCAGGTGAGTTAGATGGGGGAGGGGTGGAGCCGATCCGCATCGATGCTCCCATGTGGACAAGGCGAAAACCCGGGGTCCCTCTGCAAGATGCCTCCTATTTATCCCTCTCAGGCTGCCAGTCAGTCATCACCTCGCCTTTCTTAATGCTGCTTCAAAGAGGGTCCTTCCAAGGACAGGCCCTTGCTGCTTGACTCCAAGGCGTCTGTATGTCCAGTCTTCTTTTCAGTGAGCTCACGTCACAAGTCTTGTCTTTGGATCTGGCTCCCGGCCCCTCCACCCTTGCAACTGCTGCTGGAGGTGCTCAGCTCTCAAGGCTCCTCCATTCACACCTCAGACATTTCAACAGGACACTCAGGGAAAGGGGAGAGGTCTATTCTACTCCTAGAAAAAGTCGTTTTCCTATTCCTATCACGGAAAGGGCTTAATACAGAGTTTCTATGGTCTATAAGAAGCAAAGATCCATACAAGATCTCTCTCTATAAAGAGACACAAAGTTTCTCTTAATACAAATATCAGAGCGGTAGCCGTGTTAGTCTGGATCTGCAAAAGCAGCAAGGAGTCCTGTGGCACCTGATAGACTGACATTCATTGGCACATAAGCTTTCGTGGGCAAAGACCCACTTTTGTCAGATGCACGTAGTGAAAATATCCAGAGGCAGGCATAAATATGCAGGCCAGAATAAGGCTAGAGATAACGAGGTCAATCCGGTCAAGGAGGGTGAGGCCCCCTTCCGTTATCATTCTTAATACAAAGTTATATGAGAATAATACATGGTTATATGCAGGGCTTGACAAACGGCGGCGAAATCCACGCGCCAGCCCCGCACTGCTCATGCGCGCGCCGCCGGCGAACTGAGCGACCGGCTGAAATCTACTCGCCACGGGGGAGTAGATACACCGATTTGTCGAGCCCTCCTTGTATGGAAATGGTGCAGACATTTATCCACAGCGGGACCCCGGCACAAGCTTGGCTGGGCCCAGGGAGTCCTGGGGTCTCTGGAAATCCCGGACTCCTGAGGAGGCGGGGGGCGCCCCTGCCGAGGGCGCTCATCCTGCCGAAGCCTGGTCCCCTTCCTTCAGCTTAACGCTGGAGCTGGCATTGCCATCTCCCTGCGGAGCCCCCAACCCTGCGTCCCGGCCCATTCCCTCTTCCCTTCCTCTGGCCTTGCGCTTAGTGTGCTCTTCCTGTCCTAACCCG